TCTTCTTCAAGTCTTCTTTTTCAGTTTCAGAAACTCCCTGGAATCTGAGAATCATGTTGGCCTTTTCCATTTGCAGCTGTAACAAACGGTTTTCTTGGAGGTTTTGTTTTGTTTCCATGCGGCTTTCGGTAGAAGGGTCCTACGGGGAAGTGGATGGACCCACCCTAGAGGATACTGCTGTTTTATGTCCCAGGAGTATGGAGTCTGGAGGACTGCCTCACTCCTGGACCACCGGAGAATGGAAGATTTGTCTCCACTTACCGTGAAGCTTCCTTCTCAGTGGTCCAGAGTGGGGCAGTCCTGCCCACCCGGCTTTGTAGGGTGCTACTTCCTCCGTCTACAGGGGTGCTGTTTGTCCTTTTTTTTGTCTTTTCAGTACTGGGAGGTTTTGTAGTATGGCAAACCAGGGGGGATACCTGTTACTGTAGTTCTTGGATGTTTGTTGCCCCCCGTTGGGGGTGAGTTGGTTGTATTCCCTTTCAATATAGGGGAACGGAGGCTTGGGGTTTGACTGGGAAGCAGGAGCACAAGCCCCTCCCCTCCATGACTAAAGAGTCTGCTGGTCTGCTGGCCCTGCATTCGGAGGAGAGGAGCTGTTTCCCAGGAGTAAGGAGTCTGGAGGACTGCCCCACTCTGGACCACCGAGAAGGAAGCTTCACGGTAAGTGGAGACAAATCTTCCGTTCATATTTACAGCAAATTCTGCAAAACTGTCCCCGAGGATACAGAAATCAATTTATTTTTTTTAATTTATTTATTTAGTAGACTTTTACCCTGCCCTCCCGGCAAAGCTGGCTCAGGGTGGCAATCACATCAGTCTTTTAAAACAAATGATACAACAAATTAAAAGAAATAAAAAATATTTCAATTTATACCTAAAGAGCTGCAGGGGAGAAATTACCAAGCAATGGAGGAGAAACTCAGTATTTTAATTTTTTAATTGTAACTAGTTGCTCAGGGAACCATAAATTTAGTAATACGAAAAGCAACTCTGGAGAGGAACTTACTGAACAGGACTATCACGTTTTCACTGGTACTTAAATTAGTAACATGAAAGAATTTTTTTTTTAAGAATGTAGGTTTCAATAGACATTAATGCACTGTGCTTTTGTACAAGGTTTGTTCCCTTGTGTTATAACTCTGTGCTGCAGCAAACACATTGGTTCCATCTAGACTTTTTATGTATATAAGATGCTCTTTACAGCAGTTTTCAAACTCTTCCAGGCAGGAATACACGCCAAGCTTATTGGAAAGGAACTTTATGCCAAAGGGCAGACAGTTAAGCAATATGACAGGCCCTGCATATGGGTTCAGTTATCTTCTGGTTTTGCAGGTCTGTTACTCAACTTGAAGTATGCCCCACTGACAACCATGTAATGTTTTATGTTCTTCCTTGTTTGATAAGTTCAGGCAATACTGCAGGATTTTGAACAAGGCAAAGCCACTAGAGTACTGTCGGTGGGAGGTAATTCTGTGGAGTCCTTAACCTCTAGCTTTCAAAGTAGCATCTTGGAGAAGATAGTTAAGGCCAGCAGCAGTTGCTTGTAGCTGATCACCTATTAGCATTTAGATACCATGAAGACCCTTTAGAATGGGCACCCATATCAATAGCCAGATATTATGATGTTCAAGTACAAGAATCTGCACACACTTCTGGGTGTTGTCCTTTAAAAAAAAAAAACAGCTGGAAGGGATCTGAAGGATCATCTAGTCCAGCCCCCTGCACAAAACAGGAAATTTACAACTACCTCCCCCCCACACTCCCTCAGTGACCCCTGCTCCATGCCCAGAGGAAGGCAAAAACCCTCCAGGATCCCTGGGCCAATCTGGCCTGGAGGAAAATTCCTTCCTAACTCCAAAGTGCTCTGTGTTACCCTGGGCATATAAGAAAGGGTCTTCATGTGAAACCAAGAAGACATCGTTTGAGGGATGGGGCATAGCTTGTTGGCAGATCACGTGGTTTGCTTGGAGAAGGTTCCAGGTTCTGTCTTTGCCATCTCCCATTAGAAGGGATCTCTGGTAGAAATGCAGGGAAAGACCTCTGAAGAGCCTCATTAGGCTGTACTTGGTGGGCCGGTGGTCTCTCTGCATAAAATATCTCTATGTACTTAACTTTCAGTATAGCGTAGTGTGAAACGCTTCCATCAAGGGGAAGCAGTTCACAGATTCGTGTTCCTCGGTCATTGACTTATAGCATCAAGTGAGCTTTTCCATAGCTCCCGGTGCCAACTTGAAACACTAGTGCTTTTCAATGCTCACACATTCAGCCGCTCATAATCATGCAACAAGAAACAAGTTGTGTATGAACGCGTGGTTGAACTTCCTCTGTTACGTATAGAAAAGCCTTGTTGTAGTCAATGAGGTTTGCAGGTGAGTACTCACTTATGCTACAAGGTAAAATTGTTTAAAACCATCACATAAGATTGTGTAGGAGTCCAAAACTTTCCATGGGAAGGAAGCAGACTACTTGCGGGCACAAGGCAATTGGCAAATTGGGTTTTGATGCATAACTAGAGGCCCCAGATCCTGTGGCTTTATGGAGGAAGTGAGATTTTCCTCTCCCCATTAGCCTGGGATGCTAGCAGCTCACACCAGTAACAGCAGACAGCAAAGGATCTGTCAGCAATCATGGGAGCAAGGGCTGAGA